CTCTCTCTCTCTCTCTCTCTCTCTCTCTCTCTCTCTCTCTCGCTCTCTCCGGTCCTCACACGCTGAAAGCAAGTGAAGCTAAAAAGAAAGGGAGGGTGTGCACGCAGTAAAAGCAAATGGACAGCATACATAGCATGGGTGTTTGTTTTATGCAGTATCTTTTAGTTATTGGTGTCTTGTAGCCTCAAACAACCTTCTCTTTCATTTAGGCTCTCAGCTCGCCGTACCTGCAAGGCAGTGCATCAGGCAACATGAGGCAGCCTGTAAGTGTCATCATACTCGCCATTCCCCACCATCCTCTCTCTCTCTCTCTCTCTCAAACGCATGAAGCACAGACACACGTCGATACAAACGCACATAATAACGCTCCAAACTATTAGCAAGTGTTAGATTTTCTGAAAGCTTGCATGTTTCTTATCTTCCACAAAGAAATTTAGCAAGCAAAATTAACATCTTAATAGAAGCATCTGTAATCACAGCTCAAAATGAACTTTACTAAGCAGGGAATTGGCTATATCAACAAAGAAAAAGATACTCCACCGGCATTAGCTAATCGATCAGCTACACAATAGGCTTCCCTCAATGTATGGGTAATGTTGGCATTGTAGATTAATATATTGTCTTATTCATTTATGATTATGATCTACAAAGATATGATTTTTTTATTCATATAGCTTTTTTGTTGTCATCTCATGCACATACATGGATCTTAATTCTGGGACAAATTTTATTTTGAGACGATGAAATTGTTCTTCAGTGTTGATGGTTATAAAATCATGAAAGATGACTGCTCATTCCTGCTCAACAAAATAGATACAGTAGTAATAGGAATCATTCTTTTCATCTCCTTTGTTGAGTTCTCTTTGGTTAGATGGACTTCCTCCATTATTATACTATAGTGATTTTGAATGGGCGAATTATCGAAAAAAAAATTTCTTCTTTAATTTTATCTGAGAGGTGTCCTTGATTCATATTTGTTGACATTGTTGAAATATCCCCCGATAGGATAATCAAACTGATAACCCAATCCATAAGATGAACATATCCAATCCCCATATATAGGATTTATATTGTGAGTTATAATATTTTTGAATTGACTTAGAATGTTTTTTTGAACCTCTACTAATATACTGTAACTCTATTTAAAAACATCTTAACTTAGGTAAATAGGTTTGAAACCCCATATAAACTAGCTTATCTATAAAAATAATATTTTAGATAATTATTTAGGAATAAGAACAACAAAATAGAGAGACTTTTATATCAATTATAATTTTTTTTAATTAATATAAATATATTTAAAATTATTATAACTGAAGAATTGAACTGATCTATAGCAAAGGAGGTATATTTTAGACTCTATAGCAAAGGAGGAATATTTTTTGGGATATATGAAAAAGAAGATCTTTGAGAAAAACTAAAAATAATAATATTTTTTTCGAAAATTCGCACATTTTAAGGTATAATCATATCCTTTTTCTTAGTATTTGCTTGCATAGTTAGTAAGTGTGTAATATATCCCTTTTCTTTTTTCCCTTTAGTCAAAGCAGTATAGCTAAACTGCGACTTAAGAGTGTGTGACTTAAGGCGCACCACCCCTTCTCGTCCTCTAGATGCATGCCACGTCCACATTCCTGTCCTTTCTCTTCCCTCAAAAGAAGGTAGCTATTACTGATGTCGTAATAGCTGTACAAGTTGATGTTGCTCAACCTCGGCTCCGGTGTTTGCAGGCACGAGGAAACACGAGCTGCTCATTATCTGAAGACCCTGCTCAGGTATATCTCATTGGATCTCTTCCCACCTTAACAAGTACCTAAGCTTTGTGTCATAGATAAATAACTCCATTAGCTAAAGCTCCTTTACAACATAAAGGCTTTGAGAGAACAAAGTTGGATCAGCTTTACAGCTTCACACCTAAGTATTCGTGACACTGACAATTCCCTAATGTTATCATCATTCCCGTGGCATGCAGTTCTCGGATGGAGGTGGGATGAAGAGAAGCGGGCCACAAGATCAGGTACTTTTACGCTGATGTACTCAGTATATTGCAGGGATCGACTGCAGAAGATTGATTCCTTCGGTTTCACTGTTGCTTACGGCAGGAGCGCTGCGAGGAGCCGAAGAAGGACCTCAGGAGTCGAGGGTTGTGCCTGGTGCCGGTCTCCTTCACCATGCACGTTGGGAGTGACAACGGCGCTGATTTCTGGGCTCCGGCTCTCGGCGGAGGCTTCTGATGAGACGAGGCTTGCAGGGTTCTTTGCCTGCCTGGGGACTGCAGGTGGACATAACATCACTAGCAGTCACTCTGCTAAGCCTGAAGGCTGATTGCTAATGATGTTATGGATGACAGACATAAAAATATTGAGCATGCCAAGAAGAGATCAGGTCGTGCAGCTGCAGGTGGCCCTTGTACGCCATAAACTCAAGACACAAGCTTCTAGGTTTAGGTCTAGAATGCCATATTGGTCTACATCTTACTGCAGTCTGCTCAGCATGCAGCTTCTTAAATGCCTCAAGATGTAACTATTTGTTGTTTAGGGTTTCACTTTGTCCTTCTCTATCTCATCCATCAATCATACAGAAGTAAGTAATCATATATATATATATATATATTCTTCCTTGCATTAGTTCCAGTCAAAGTGGTCAACCTGGCTGAATGCTTATCCTTTCTGGTGTTTGATTTAATCATACATCTTTCTGGGAAATGCTCTTATTGATAATATTTGCTGCATGATTTGCCATCTTTTGTGGTTGATTAGAATGTCCTCCACATTACATGTCTTTATGTGGTGGCCTTCGGACATGTAAACTACAGCTCCAATTTCTTACGGTCTTAATTATTTTTAATGATTATAATTGTAGGAATCTCATTTTTAGATATGAATATTCAAAAAAATTCAATATATTATCATATAATAAATAAGACATCCCTAATTCCAAATTGGAATTGGATATTTATTCTTTTCAACTTGTACTTATCTCAAAGTCCATTACAATTCATCGCTATAATGTCGTCTCCCATTGGCAGTTGGGATGACAAAGACTTCCAACTAAACCACGTGGGCTTCGGGTTCTTCGTCTTGTCTCCTTCCTCTCTCGGCCCGGCGACTGTTCTTGGCGACGGCCGTGTCGAACTGGAGCGAGACGGCGATGGTCGTCATGGGCATGCGGGCAAAGCCACGGAAACGTCCCAATCCATTCCTATATGCTATTGATCTGTATCGATCGCTTAGCTTGCTTTTCCAGAAAGATTTCGTCGCTACGGAATCGGGCAGCCGGATGGTCCTCCCTGCCGGCGCCACCATCGTCCCGGTAACGCCGCATTTTGGTGATCTGTGTCCGTTGTTTGGTTAAGCTACAGTTCACTGGCATCCCCACGTCGCTTGCGTCTCACCTTCATCGTTCCTTTGTATGGGGATAACTGCGAACTTGGTCTACATGGATGGGCTTCCTCCACAAAGAATCGAACAGAGAAAGGCTTTTCTACTAGTACATTACTTTGGCTGGCTTTTTCCTCTTTGTTCTGCAATGGAAGCTAAAGGTAAGAGAACCGTTCAGGTTCTTCCGGAGAACACTGGTACTCCGATGGTAGAGGAGTAGCAGCGATGCAGAACTACCCGATGGACTCGTGGTGGAAGACGGCGACTACAAGGTGGCGAAGACACGCTTCAGTGATTTCTTCGCCACCAACCTTCATTCCCTTCTTCAGCGATGTGGAATCAAGGACTTGGTTGTCGCCGGAAAGCCACCGATTCCCCCAAATTAACCCGCATCATATTTGCTGGCTTTTCCTGAGACAAAACGCTAATGTGCAGGGGTTCAGACACGAACCTGCGTCAGGCAATCTGTGTTCGATGATGTTGCTTTGGATTACCATCAGGTTTCTGTAAGTTCACTTTGGTGAGTTCCTTCTTGTTACTGCAGTCTAATGTTCCAACCGCTGTTCACCCAAACTCGCAGGACTCCTTTCTTTCTTTTGCTTGGTTCAGGCAACATCAGAGACAAGAAAAAGGTGGGAGTGGATGCAGCTCTAATGCTCAGTGGATAATGTTTGATGTGTGGTTTTGCTGTCTTCTACTGTGATGATGAAGAATATTAGAAGACAAATCTAGTTGGCATAATAATAAGCCTACTGTTTGCAATAATAACAAAGCTACGCATCGGCTCACCGCAGCACGGTAAAATGACCGCCCCGACTCTGTATGCCTGTGTGCGTGCACAGAGAACCAATGTCATGTGAATCGACCCGCCACCCAATGCAAGGAAATAAGGAAGGAAGAATTTATTGGAATAAATAAAAATTGCTTTGGGAAGTATGAAAAAGGGAATGTTTTCTCTGTTTCTTTTCCTTTTTTTCAGATTACTTTCAGATATCAAGTGCAAAAAATATAAGATTAATAATTTGTTTCCATTGAAGAAGCCATTTTTCTAAAAATATAAATGTTGTTGTTGTATATATATATATATATATATATATATATATATATATATGTGTGTATGACGACATGATGTAGATACGTGACGTGGCTGGTAATACTCATCTTGTGTGTGAGAGATCAGGGTGTTCTGTGTCCCGGACCACGCAGGAAAATGTTACTCAACTAATGGTAGCGCATGACCTCCAAAACCCGAAACAAAGCTTAAAGGGGAAAGAATAAATGGCATTGATTTCCATATCGGGCATCTATTCGCCTATAAGAGGAGGCGAAGCAGAACGGAGCAGACAGAACGGGGAAGAATGGCACCGGAGGGGACGTTGGCGTGGTTCGACGAGAACGGCCAGATGCAGCAGTTGTCCCTCCATTCCCTCGCCGCCGGCAAGAAGGTGATCGTCTTCGGCGTCCCCGGCGCCTGCAGAGTCTGCAGGTGCAGGTGAGCTCTCTTCTTCCTCCTCAAATGCATTCAATATATGTTCCTACTTTCTTGATCTGTTTCTTTACCTTTGTTTTAAAAAATCTGGCGATAAATCGACCGGTGGAAACCATGTCGGAACCCTGAACCCAGATTTCATATCGAGTAAAGTCGATCACGATCGGATGTATCGATTCAGCGATTTTTTTTTTCTACCTAATTGTTAGATTAATATTATCGTTACACGATCTTATATAATAGAACTAATTAGATTACGATGATAAAGATTAATCAATAGAAAAGAAGTTCATAATATAATAAAATTTCTTAGAAAAATTTCATAAGAAATGAATTCTCTTAATAACTTATCTTAGATCCTCTGTTTTATTTTATAAATATACAAACCATCTAAAGGTTAAATAACACATAATATAGAGGATACAAATGAAGGATAATAGTTTTTTTCTCAACTTTCCTGGACTATCAATCTAAATGGTCCTATGAAATAATAGGAAAAGATTTTGGATCTGATTCTCGTTACAGATTATCAGTGATTTTAGATCTAAAGATGGTGCCTTTGCAAATTACACAGAAATCCTTTTTCAGATAATATCAAAAGATATACATCATAAAATCGATTTAATATTTTTTATTTCAAACCTAGCATAAACGTTTTTATGCATTACATATAGCATATAATAGTTTTTATATTTACAATTGGTATCAGAGCCTAGGTTCTTGAAATCAAATACTTTAGATCAGTTGTTTTCTGATTTATAATGTTTGAGCAATCTATATTTTATCGATCTAAATTCTTATCTTTTCTGTTTTATCGCTTGTTTATAGGCAATGTTAGATTTTTTGTAATGTGATCTTCAATGATCATGAAGCAACAATGGTCATTGTGCAGCACCGTTGCCGACCTTGTTGCATACAACTAGTGGATCTGTTGGCAACAACGACTACATCGGGCAGTGTACGCGTCGCAATAGCAACAACGGTTGTGGGCCACTGGCGACGACTACGAACCGCACGAGGGAAGCAACCGCATCCAAGCGGCAACCATGCATAGGCATAAGCTGATGGGATATTAAGAGAAACAAACTTTTGTATATGAATAAATACTAGCAGGTCATAATATGCAGCGGAATTAAATGGAATCATAATCAAATAGAATACCAAGATTTACATGAAAAACTCATCCAATATGAAGGGTAAAGTCCACGGGGCAAATTAGAGATAATCCACTATAAGAATAATGAATATATAAATCTTAATCT